CTGAGTTTCTGACTATAATTGTTATTTTGTATTTGAAATTTTAAATATACAAGACTTTTGAGTTTTGACCAGTTTATTTTTTTAAAATCTTTTCTTTTCTGGTTATTGGAGCCTACTAATTATTTGACAATATTTCTGCACTGTGTAACTTCAGTAATTCCAAGTTGTACTGTGATAGAAGTGTGATTGATGTTAAGAAGGCTGCTATGATGTGTCTCTTACGTTTTAAAGGTCTGTCAAGATCTGATGATACATTGGCGAAATTGCCAATTCTGAGCGGTTACCTGAGCAGCCTAGGTTTTTGAGAATTAAATTATCCTCATATAATATGTTCACTTCTCTGTATTCTATGACCATTAATTTTACAATTTTACATCAATTTTATTTTGACTTTATTCAAATGTTTATAAATTGTTTCCTATTTTGCATATGCAGTTTGATTCTGAAAATTTGTCCTCGCTGTTTATACTTGGTGGTGGTGGTGGTGTTGCCCTTTGGTTAACAAGTGCTGTTGTTGGTGCTATTGATTCTATCCCTCTGGTCCGTTCTTCTACTCTCCTCATTTTTTTTGGATCTTGACCCTATTTGGTATATTTCATTTTACATTCTTCACTGTCGATGAATTGCTTATAATTTGGTTATTATCATTTATCAGTTCCCCAAATTGATGGAAGTTGTTGGCATTGGCTATACAGTGTGGTTCACTAACCGCTATCTGCTACTCAAGGTAAAATTAGTCAAGTGTATTGTTTTACACAGCTCATTTCTCTCGGTTCCATGACTGTTTATGTTTCAATTGGATTTGCAGAAAAACAGGGAGGAGTTAGCGTCAAAAGTCGAAGAGATCAAGAAGCAAGTGTTGGGTTCAGATCGCGATTGAGCCCTGTTCTACGAAGGCTGAAGATAAAGGGGGGCTCCATGTTTAAGCGAAATTCGTTTTCTTTTAAGTGTCTGTGGCAGTTGTGCATGCCAGAATGGGGATGGAGTTTTTGGTGTATATTTATATATATATGTTTTCATGTCCATCTTGGGATATCCTTTGTTATCTGGTAGTAGAGTTGAACATGCCTGTAGATACTGCAGCTTCACAATTCTATAGAGATGGTTGATAGATGCTTTCATGGATTATGCTATTAGTTTTTTTAAAACTAGAGCAATTCTGGTTAATAAAATGTGGACTGCCCAATCCCCATGCATGCTTATTCTCCTCATACTTTTATCATCTTTACCACCTAAAGTCTCCTGAACATAGTTCAACTAGTCAATTAATCTAAATACTGCTCGTCTCAAATTAGTGGAGAAGATAAATTGTGAGATGTACTTCATTTATATCTCCTTTTTAACGAAGCCTATATATATATATATATATATATATATATATATATATATATATATATATATATATAGATTCATGATATAGTGACTTCACCCTCTTCATATATAGTTGCACAGTTGGCTTTTTGGTCCAAATCTATCCATACGGACTCAGAAAAAAGGGTGGACTACCCTAAACAATATATGTATATATATAGATTCATGATATAATGACTTCACCCTCTTCATATATAGTTGCACAGTTGGCTTTTTGGCCCAAATCTATTCATATGGACTCAGAAAAAAGGGTGGACTACCCTAAACAATAGCATATATATATATATATATATATATATATATATATATATATATATATAGACTCATAAACAAATGACTCCACCCCTTCTCATATATAGTTGCACAGTTGATCTTTTGGCTGAGATCTGTCTATACAGACTCATAAGAAGGGGTGGACTTACCTAAACAATAGCATATATATATATATATATATATATATATATATATATATATATATATATATATATATATATATATATATATATATATATATATATATATATATATATATCAAAGTCGAATCACATTATGGTAGCTGCCATCTCCTCAACTACTATACATACATGACGTCCAAATATAGGTTCTATACATGCAGCTGGAGCTTCAATTCCAGATGGAAACATCAGAGATATCCTCGTCTCACTTTCCCTTGTAATTCTTAACGTGCATTCATTATATTATGGCATCTCATCTATCTGCTACCAACGTCATACTTCTTACTATTTTTAACGTTTCTCCATCTCAACATTTGTCTCTTTACTTAATTTACCAACGTTTCTTCATCCACCCGGACCACCCCGCACTGCTATATATATACTGCAGAGGCTCAAAAGGATTCTGTATCTATCTCCATTTACAATATATACTTGCAGATTGCGGAAATTTTCTAAGGGATATATATGATGAAGCCAAACAGTTTGATTCTCGTAGCTTTGTTGTTGTGTGGGGCCCTTCTCTCTGCATCTTCAGCTCTGGGAACTGAAGAAAATAATGGTGAAGTAGGCCTGCAGCACCATGGCGGCTGGGGTGGTTACGGCGGTGGAGGTTATCATGGAGGTGGTCACGGTGGCGGAGGTTATCATGGAGGTGGCCACGGTGGCGGCGGAGGGCACTGTAGATACGGGTGCTGTGGCGGATACTATGGCGGACGTTGCAGATACTGCTGCCATAGCGCTCAAGAAGCTCAACCAATCAATGAAGCCAAGCCGTAGAACAACGACGACACAACATATACGACATATCATGAAAGTATGAAACAAATTAAATAAACCTACGACTATACGAGTAACGAGTATACGTAGGCATACTATGTTTCCACTTCTATGGATTTTAATTATGTATAATATGTTTTACAAAATATATACTTATATTATATATACGCGCTATTACTTTGGTTAATTAGGGTATGCACAGACTTAGTTCACTGGTTAGACAATATATTTAGGATAAAAGACTAAGGTTCGAACATCAATAATGGTAGTATGGAGATTATGCTTAAAGTGGACAAATCTCTCATGCACCGACATTTGATCCTGTCTGCTGAACCATTGAGTCACTGTGATTTACATTCTCTCAAATACTCTGTAGAATCGGAGTGTGTGAACTCTTGGGGTTGGAAATTTAATCTTTTGGGGAAGAAATTTGGTTAATTAGGTAAATTTTAAAATGTTGAACCCAATTCATTGATGTTCGAATTTCTATAAAGCTTCAAACTTAAAATTGTTAATTGAACAGATATAATTTTGATCAAATTAATCAAAGTAATAGTTAGCTAAAATTATTTTGGTTAGTTGGAAAACCCTAATAAATCAACCCTACTAATTTTGCATATTGATATGGATGTGACTCAAGCTAAGCTACCTATAGAGGCATGCTACTCAAATCAAACATTTTCTAATATGATATCGTTATAGTCAGTAATAAATACTCATCGGCCATCAAGCGTTTTCTAATAAGATATCATTATAATCAGTAACAAATGCTCACTTTATTTTTTTTAAATATTTTAATTTACCAGAAAATTAGTGGTCAGTATCTGAAAATGCATTATGGACAATGAAATTCACTTTGTAACAATAACCAATAAAAATTACAATTAAATAAATTAGCTTTAAGTTATCCATATATAGTTGACCAGCTCAAATTTAAAAAGTTAATCTTATAAATTAAACTTGAAACTTTATAATTATCCAACTAATTGATAAATTAACTCAATTGCGATTGTCCTTAATGTTGTTGTAGCGGCGGGCTAGGCATGGTGGGCACGGTGGACACTAGCGGCAGTGTCGGAGGAGGAAGTGGCGGAATCCGAAGTAGGTGGGCAGGCCATCTATAATAGCCGGCTGACTCATTTGGATAAGAAAAGAAAAATCAGTGTTCTGGAAAAGTAGTTCAATCCCATCGTCCCACTTCATAAACCACAATATAATAATCTTATACTTTATAAGCTCACACTGTCACAACTCACAAGTCACAACTGGAATTGAAGTATGATACTGTATACTTATCCTCCGGAACTCTAATATGATTTACGTGATTATATATATTATTTGTGGTAACTAAATATTGTTTAAGTCCTCGGTCAGTTATGAATAACCTATGTTAATTTATTTTATTATGATTATTTGCTAGCTAGAGAGTTACAAAACCAACTTCACCCAAATTAAATTAAAACACATGTTTTGGCCGGGTAGCATCGGTAGACTTTCCTGTAAAATAAAGATTAAAGTTGATGTGGTAAATACGTTGAAGTACTCTGTTTTGGTGTACGGTGTACTATGTATTGTCTCGGGTAGCTCTGTGTGTGATCAGAAGTTCCCTAGCTTAAAGTATGGTATGAATAAAACTCCAAAAGTCTCTCCTTAAGGTATTAAATGTGACTTTTATAGAGATCTGGGGGTACATATGCTGGGCATGCGACATGTCAACAACGTGTCTCGCATGCACGGGTGGGGTCAGATGCGATTCCAATAGGTCCATGTGCTTGGAGGTTCCTGACACTTGTATTATTACGATGTAATCCGGTAGTGAGGTGACTACGTTAGTCTTCTAATGCTGGAAGCTTAGTGCTCGGGATGACCTTCTCGAGCATATAAGGTCGGGAATTCTGTCCCGGGTGTGAGGCACGAGGCATAAGATTAAATAATCTCAAAAAGACTATCTTCTTACTAAGCTCGGGTCAGATAAGATCCAATCTAGTCGGTTATGCTCGAGAGATGGACCTCTTGGTCCCGTGCGTATATATCGAGCACATATACGAACATACGAATAAAAGGTATTCCGAGTTAATGTCAGTCAAGGTCCCTCGACTTTGGTGATTTTGCCATCTATCGTCCTTAACTTTAATATGTCTCAGTGTAGTCATCTGACTTCGTAATTTTGACCTCTAGTGATTCTCCCGTTAATATCTCACGTTTGCACTGTTAATTTTAGGGATAAAATGATAATTTCTCCTTGTTTATTGATTTTTAAAGGATAAAATAATATTGAGTAAGTTGACTCAATTACCAAACTAACTTTAATTTACAAAAATTCTACAAAAGTGCACGTGAAACCACAAAGTTATATATATATATATATATATATATATATATATATATATATATATATATATATATATATATTCATGTTTTGAATTGGTTTGTTGGGGGATTAGTATGGGGTTTTCCATGTCCCAATCAACCACAACGACAACAAAGTGACATAATAATCAATACTGATAGAGACGGGGCCGCTTGTGCCCCGGCAACTCCTGCAGGCTCGAGTTAACCACCGCATTTGACCTGTCCACCACCACTTTCAGCGCCCTCCGCACCGCCGCCACCACCTCCTCTCCACCCTTATTGCCGCCATTCAAGCCCTCAACATGCACCCACAGCACGCACTTTATCCGCCCTCCCACCGTCGCCATCTCCGCCCTCACCACCTTCCCCTCCACCGACTTCAACGCCCTCACCAGCTCCGTTATGATCTCCGGCCGGTCCTCGCAGCACAGCGCCGCCTTTAAGTTCCCGCCGCCCGCCTCCCCCGCGTAGCTCAGCTTCAGCTCGTCCGTCTCGCTCGGGAACATGTATTTCGTCGGCCGCCTAACGTCGCCGCCGCCGCTGGTGCCTGCTGCTGCTGCGTAGCTGAAACTATTGTCGTCGGCGTCGGATTCCGGCACCGCCGCCAGCTCGGTGGTTGTCTTCTTCAGCTCTCGTACGCACTTCACCGCCTCCGCTAGTAATGATGCCTTGTCCGTCTGCAATATTAATCAGTGACGTTAAACATCATTTCTTATTGCTCATTATTATATTATAAAGTGACATATATTCATGCAATCGCTCATCATTGGACCGACCCCCCCCTTTTATCATTCCACTTTATAAACATGATTCAAATGTGACAACAAAATAATTCAATGCAAAATCATTATTTCACTAAAGAGAATTTGTATCATACTATGTGTAATTTGCTCCCAATTAATAAATCACTGAATTTGTATCATACTATGTGGGGCTTTGGGGTGACTGAATTTTATCTTTTGTGAACAAAGCATCAATTGTATGTTCTATATTAAGTACAATCATGTATACTATTTGAATTAGGTTTTGTACCAGGTCTGATTAGTACTTTCCTCTCGCAATACCTAATAGAACTTTACATAGTATAGGTAATTGTACTCAATACAAAAGACACACATACTTATAGACAATTTAAAAATTTCCTAAATTGTTACATAGGACTATAAGAGTATGTAGTTGTACATACTCGGTGCATACTCTTAAATAATTACTGCGAATTTTTGTATTGATCCAAAAATCTTAGAAATTTCTCGGTACACACCATCTAATAATGAGTGCAGATTTTTCCCTTGACCCAAAAAAAACCCCTTAAATTAATGGCACTGGGGTTGGACTCCCATATGAAAGATTGTAAGTTAGAGCCTCAATGTAGGCGTTATTGGCTCGCTTCAGTAGATTGAGAAAGTAGTCATGAACAGATACTACATTATAATAGAGTTGCATTCAAATATATATATATATAGACACACAAACACATACATGAGTGATGAGTGAGTTTTATCTAAGCTGATGATGATGAGATGGAATGAAGTTGTGTGATCTTACCTTGATTGTGTTGGGGAGGAGGGTGCGGAGGGTGGCGAGATGGCCGTTGATTCGCTTCCGGCGGCGGCGCTCAGCCTCGCTGTGGCTCTTGTTGGCGGCAATGGCTTTCGCCTCCGCCAGCGACCTTGGGCTCACGCACGAGGTATCTTCCAGGCTATTCATCATCTCCGCAGACCCCATTATTCCTTGAAGAAAGTTATTATACGACTCAGAACAGCTCCCCACCTCATAAAAGCTCGGAAATGTCTGCATCTTCTTGTTCTTACTCTCCGCCAAACCTTAAAGAACACAAACCCCACAAGAAAAACATCATATCAACTACGTGTAGATACATACATATTTACATATAATAATCATCAAGAATATTTCACAAACCGAGATATATGAAGCTGCCCGGGGTTCTGCAGATGATGAGATACTAAGATTCTGCAATCTGAAAACAAATCCGCAAAAGAGAGGATTCCGATGGTTACCGAGACGATGATGCAAAGATTTTGTTTTACTAGGTAGCGATATACAATATTTTTGTTTGGATCAATCTTTTTTTAGGAAGAGTTGGTGAGAGAGAACATAGGCCAACACCCTCTTTTTATAGAACAAGTGTGGAACCAAAAAGCTGGAATTCTAAATTTTATTTGCCTTTATGACTCTTTGGATTCTTTGTTTATTATATTGTTATATTATCTAGAGGAAAGTAATAGTTGTATTCTTTTTTTTTTTTTTTTTAATAACTACATAGGTATTATTGTTTTTTTGGTTGCTTTTGATTTACTAAAAAGTCTACCGTCATTATCCAGAGGCCTTGTGATCCTACTTAGGTTGTCCATATCTAATAAGCTCGATCAAACCAATAAATAATTTGGTAAATCGACCTTGATTTACATGAAAATCCGCAGCTATCCAAAAGTGTGCTTTGGGTGACACATGTCTTATGGCCCTAGTAGCTAAAACCAAAAAGAGGTAAAGCAACGTATATCGGTTGTCCATATCTAATTAGTAATATGGTAAACCAACTTTGATTTATAGGAAAATTCGCAGCAGCTACCAAGAGTGTACCCTGGTGAAGCCAATCTTGTAAGCTGGCAACTTAAACCAAAAATATTAAAAGAGGTAAATCATCATAAGTTTTTCATAACTGATTAGTGGTTTGGTAAATCAGCCTTGATCTACGAGAAGGAAAAGTGCATAGTCGCTATCCAAAGGTGTGCTTTGAATTCGGCGAAATCTTCTTTGTGATCTTAGACAACAAAAAACCAAGTCAAACCAATAAAAGGGAAACCAATTTAGGTTGTCCGTAAGTGACCAACTCAAATATTAATAGACAGCTCATACAAATAATCAAATTTAAAACATTGTGATTATTAAATCAATTATTTAATCAATTTGACTGGGAATGCGGGACTTTATTTTATTCTGTATCTGATAAGGATGTTTCTATGTCACACGTAACTATTATTGCGTCATTACACATGCACCGCTTCATAAATAAAGTTTGATGGTAATTAGTGGAGTTTAAGTTAATTGGATCTTACGTACCTATTGAATATCACGAATCTTGACGAGAACAAAAAGTTACAAAAGTTATAAATAATTTTTTTTTTTTGGATTTTTCAATGGTTAATTTGACATTGTTGACATAAAATATGGGTCACATACAATATGTTGACATAAATTTTTTTTTTATTGAACAATGCAAAAGTTTGGACAAACTACAATCAAATACATTATTTTTTGATGCACTAGGTACTGTCAACACCAATGAAATAGTACCTAGTGTAACTAGTTATGAATGCTACACTTTTGTTTTACTCACATATTCACATTGGTATTAATCGCTATTATAATTATAAACCCTAATTGTTTATCCATAACTCTTTCAGCATCATCTTTGTGACAAATTAATTTTTTTTTAGTCATTTAATTCGTCGGCAAAGTTTTTTTTTTTTTTTTTAATTTTTATTTTACACAATAGTAGTATACTTATACAATGGATGACACAAAATTCAAACATTTTCTTAGAAAATACAAAAATGTTTTTCATTATATTCACATTGGTGTTGGCTAGATGTGCAAGCTATTAGACATAAAGTAGATAGCGTGAGGTTTTTTAACTCCTATAATGTGTGAATCATTGGTATATAATAATTTTCCAATATTTTGTCAAAATATTCCACTCAAAAATCAAAGAAATTGATTTTATATATAATAATCAAACAGAAATACAGATTTATTATAAAATTATACACTCTCTCATGTGACAATGCTCGCCATTTCTTTTCTTCTTCTTCTTCTTTTGTTTTTTGTTTTTTGGTTTTTTTTTTTGGGGGGTTGGGGGGGGGGGGGGAGGGGAACCATCAGGGGTTGGGTTGGTCAAAGAAATGAAAAACTTAAATTTACAGGAAAGTTTGTAGTCGTTATTCAAATATGCATTCTTGGTGAAATTCGCCTTGTGATTCTAGTCGGTAAAGGATCACAATGAGATAAATTAACTTAAGTTACTCATAAGTCATAGCTGGTTGGCTTAAACCAAGAAGTTCAATAGATAGCACAGCTTAGGTTGTCTATAGTTATCCGGATCAAACCGATAAGGTCAATAGGCAACTCAACCTAAGTTACTTATAATTAATCGGCTCGAAAAGGCTAATAAACCATTCCCATAGAGATTCGAATTTGAAACCTGACATTGTGATTAATTACTAAGCCAATTATTTAACCAACTCAATCCAACTGCCCACAAAATGACAAACTATATATTAAGGTTGCTGAATATATATGATATGAAGACCGGTTAGGGTTTTCTTGGTTGTCTTTACTACATATAATGTTATTGTGTTGATCGTCCCAATTATTGTTAGGTTGGGTCGGGGGAATGTTTTTCAAAAGGAGAGGGGCCTATAGGGCAGTACTAAGACTTTTGGAAATTATTGTTTTTAAAATTTTAAATGAGATAGATCCCATTTGAAGTGATATTTATTACTCCTCAATAGAAAAATATTATTTTTAGTTACTCAATTATAATTGTCTAGTAAATTTAATTCCACAATCATTTGTGATATATATAAGTTTAGTTTTTTTTTTTTTTTTTAGTTATTAACGTGATTGATTTGGTCACTCAAGGAACAAATCAATCGGTCACTTTATTAATGAGTAAATTATCAAAATGGTCCATTAATTATATCGATTTGACTGATTTGATCTTCTCATTTCAAAATTGTCTAATTAGGTCCTTTGACGTTATTTTTTAAACCAATTTGGTAATTCGACGCCCAACCCGTAAAATCTCTATCAAACATTTACTCAATAGTGTTGTGACCATTATATATCCTTCAAAATATATTGTCTAATGTGGCGGATGACAACATTGGTTAAAGAAATAATAGTCAAAGGACAAAATTAGACAATTTTTAAACGCGAGGACCAAATTAGCCAAATCAATATAGTCAAGATACCATTTTGATCATTTACTCCTATATTAAGTAGCACATTAGTAGCCGATTTATTATTTGAAAGATCAAATCGGTCACTTTAATAATAATTGATATATCTTTACTTTAAATAATTGAAGAATTAAATTTACATTTGGTAATAAGTAAGTGACTAAAATTAGTCGAGACCAAAATAAGGTTTTTATTTTAGTTTTAACCAAATAATTAATTCAAACTTGTCTAATGATAAGAAATTTAAAGTCAAAACCTTGGTTATGAGTTTTAAATCCAAAGGATTACACCCTAATTCACTTCAACCATGTAAACTTAGCTTCGAGGAGGAGGTTAATCACAAGATGAAACTCAACCTGATTCTACATACCTACCATCAGTCTACTACACCCTAATTCACTTCAACCATGTAAACTTCGAAGAAGAGGTTAATCGCAAGATGAAACTTAACGTGACTCTGCACCCCTACAACCCGTCTAGTACACCCTAATTCATTTCAACCATGTAGACTTCGAAAAGGAGGTTAGTCGCAAGATAAGACTCAACGTGACTCTACACCCCTAGAACCAGTTTACTATTCGCAAATCTAAACTATTAACATATTCATGTTCTATTTTCGATTTTCGTGCTATAAGGTGAAATATTTGGGGATAAGAAAAGAAGAAATAAGAGAAAACAAAAAGTTGATAAGAAGAAGAAATGGAATATTTGTGGGAAATTAAAGCTGTTGTGTTTTCACTTTGGCAGTGAAATTGGTGGAAGAATTTTCAAAAGTGTAATCATTTTCCGGCGCAGTTGATTACGCTTTGTGCCACCACCAATTCCCTCTACTCTACAACTTTAGGGTCCCAAAAAGCAGCCTTTCATTATATGGTCTGAATTCAACTTAAAACAATTTAAAAGGGGGAGAAGTGTCAAATAGGCCCATGTACTATTGTCAAGTGCTCAATTCTCACTATGAACTAAATTAAAGGCCAATTAACCACACTTATCTACTAAATTTGTTCAATTAGCATTTTTAGCAGGTAATTGACCTTTTTTTACAGGTTACCAATTCAATTATTAAAAAAATAATTTCAAAATAATTAGCATGGACGGCAATGGCCTAGAACATATAAGGGAGATGTCCCCAGGTCTCCATATACTACTCCCAGGCTCTGAAATGCAAGGCGCAATAGCAACATAGTTGAAAATTTCTAAAACAAAATCACCAAATAAAGAAACAATCAGTCTTCTCTTGTCAATAACTACAATTTTAGTGAGCACATAATAAATCCTCAAAAGGCGCTAACCATAAAAGCTCCAAGATATATAATCTTTATATATAACCAGAAAGGCAAAGTTTACCTTTTCTCTATACATGTTAGTTTCTTATTCTTCCAGCCTCTTCATCCATAGGCTGATCAAGCTTCTGGTCCAAAACCCACATCCCTCCCTTAGTTTCATTTTCGTCTTCATCAATCTCCATCCCAGATTCCCAGACGCTATTTTCTTTCAAGGCCGGAAACCGGAAAGCTGATTCTGATTATCCCTCAAAATATAGCTTAGCTTGGAATAAATTATTTTGAAATTATTTTTTTAATAATTGAATTGGTAACCTGTAAAAAAAGGTCAATTACCTGCTAAAAATGCTAATTGAACAAATTTAGTAGGTAAGTGTGGTTAATTGGCTTTTAATTTAGTTCATGGTGAGAATTGAACACTTGCCAATAATACATGGGTCTATTTGACACTTCTCCCTTTAAAAGGAAAATCTCTTTTTAAAGAACCTTCCCCCACCCCCCTCCCCACCCCCAAATCTGAATTCACACAGTGCATGTTTGACCAGAAAAGGTTGAACAAAGAAAACATTGGAACAACACTTTGCTCTCTTTCCCTGCAGTTGAGCATTTGGGAAGAGAAAACAAGGTTCTAAACCGGGGCAACTCCAGTTAAATTGGTCGAACAGTTGACTTAGTAATCATAAGGTTTAAGTTCGGCTTCTGGTGAGAATTGTCTAATAACATTCTTAGTTAGAACTGGTTAGCTAAAGATAATCTAAACCACCGAGAGCAAAAAAAAAATGCACATATATAGTGTTTCTGTATGTAATCAAAACAAAGATAACCACAAAATTTCAAGTTGGGGGCAACCTACCTTAGCAAAATTGGTTGAACAACTGATTTGGTAATCGCATGATTTCAAGTTTGACTCCCCGTAAGAGTTATTTGTTAGTCTTTTTAGCTTAAATTAATAAACGATTTTACTTTATTGTGGTCTTTTGTCGCCTAAAGTCAAAAGATTGATTTCATTCAGATTGGAAACATGCAGATATATAGTGTATGTGTAGTCAAAGCAAAGATAATCATAACTCCTCTCCTTTTCACCATTTAAGTGATATGGGTCAAAAGTCATAGTAATGTTAAAAATGTCAAAATTTTTGAATCGAAGACAGCTGGTTGGTCACTAGTGTGTGTTCATCCTAGTAGAAACATGGTACTTCTGCTTTATCCAACATCCACAGGTCAAGTGTTTGCTGCAATTGCTTCCCCTTCACTTTCAGTACTGCAAAAGTGGAAGTGAAAATCAAATAATTATAATTATAATTATATATTGTTGTGCCAAGACTAGTGTTACACATGCATCATCATATCAAAACATGTTGCACCTCAATTTCTATCCTGCTATATACCTGTTTTTGTTGTTTTTTGATGTAAAGAAAAATTTGTTCTCACAAAATCTGTAGTTGATACCGAATATGTACCCTAGATGAAGAGGGTCTTACGGCCAGATCGAAGTGGAGATATATAAGTACTAGTATAGACTGCTCTTTAATGTATGAAAAAATATGTCGTTGATATCGAATATGCACCTTAGGTGAAGAAGGTCTTACGGCCAGATCGAAGTGAGGGATATATAAGTACTAGACTGCTATATATATATATATATATATATATATATATATATATATATATAGGATACGAAGATTCTATACTACTATGAATTAACTAATGTAATATTTTTTCTAATTGGAAGTGGTGATTGGCTAAACAAGCAACACGACAATATGCTCTAATAGCTAGTTAGGGATGACAATTTCAATCCGTCCTTGGAATAATTATCAGAATCCATATCGCATGGATCGGGTTTTTTGGGGTGATAGTGAGCAGTAGGTCTTAAAAGATTAAATCCGTGATGGGTTGGACTGGATTCAGATTTTATGTACAAACCTGCCTAGAACAGTAGAAACCCATCCAACCCACCATATATATATAGTAAAATAAGTACTCATATATAGTTAATTATAAATTTTTTTAGAACTTTTACTAACTTTTTACTATTTTTAGTTCTAAACTAATATGTTTATTTTTAAAATTTTAACAATTTAGTTATTATATTTGAGTATTTTTATTATTTTATGTTTTAAACTTTTAATATAACTAGTGTATTTTATTATTTTATTATGTGTAAGTAATTTAAATATTATTTAATAAAATAATAAGTGGTGGATATATACGCGTAGAGAACACCCACACCCGGTGGGGTGGGGTGGGTCTTAAAAAAAATCCACCTAATGTGGTTTAGGAGTGGGATGGGTAGAGAAAATATAAAGTTGGTCAGGTGATGGATGTAGCACTCCCCAATCCACCCTCGACCTATTGCCATCTCACTAATAGCTACAAAGGCCCATATCAACATTAGCAATGTTAGAAGCATAGGTCGACCAATTCAATTGTCATTTGTAAGTGTACAAACGATACACATTTTGCTCTATTTTTATTGGTTATATTATTTGTCAAAACTTAGGTTATTTTGTTAGACTGTATTGTCTTTATTAGGTTTTGGATTTCAGCCTGGATCTACTTCAGATGGTTCTAAACCTGAGTCAGGACGTGTTCGAGAAAGGGCGATTTTCTCTAACAATTTTCATTTATAGTCTAATTGATTATCCGATTTCGGCTATAAAAGGAGGTGTTTTGAAGCTCATTATGCAACGAACAAGGGCATTAAATTGGTGATTAAAATCTCTAATATTTATATCTTATTATCTCACTCTTGGATTGTTCTAAGGACTCTTTGATGATCATCTAGTGAATTAGATTGACGTAAATTTCCCCTCAGACGTAAGCGGATTTGCTCCAAACTACGTTAACAATTTTTGTATGATTCCTTTTCTTTACTTAGTTTTTTATCCTGCTATATATCTTTCATTGTGTGTGATACACGCCTTAATTTATATAAGTAATTGAATTAAAAAATTACGTAGAAACAAACTAGGAATCTCTTGCATTCAAGATCCATGATCCTTTTTCATAATTAATGCGGAGTAATACTTAACAGTGAAGCTCTTAGCTGTGATCATTCAAGCTTTTTATTATACAATAACACATCAGGCAATAGGGATCTATGATCTTTGCTATTCAAAGAGAAGAAAATAGAGCAAGTTAATGGAGTGAACAAGTAAAGAGTATGTTTGAACAGAACAGTCCATAAATAAATAATGATGACAACTGACAAGAAAACAACATACTCATCATGCAGCTTATTAGTCAATCTGCAACAATCAAAGTTGGGCTAAAGTGAAATCTTCATAAAATGTGAAACTGTGGCTAAGCATGCAGTTTATAATATTAATGGTGGAGGGTGATGAAGGAGCTAAGCTGCTAAGGCAAATAACTGCAAATTAAATCCCCTAAAATGCTCCAATCCACTTCACAGGAAACAGCAGTAATGTTAAGGTTAATCTCATTTGCATTGCAAATTTTTTCAAACGAGTTTCGGGGAACTGTAAGAACTAATAAAATAAAATAATCATAACTTTATCCAGAAAGCAAAGGAAAAACAATGCATAATAAGGAATAGGAAGTCCAACTTTCCACTGCCAATCAAATCTGCGCTCCCAAGCTCATTTCAACACACTCTAAAATCAGCAAAATGATATTATGAATTAATCAAAAGGGCTTATCAAAAAAGGGCAAATAAAAGCTCTATTATAATTTGTCATATTTGAGTTGCAATAATAGCCTACCATAGGCACATAATATCTGTTAATTTTCACATACTAATAATTTAATAATGATGCCAACACTCTTTGAAAACCCAAAAATCAAGACTCTGCTAGAACAGCCCATAATTAATGACAAAGCCAAGAAAACAGATATTGTGTTAACAAATACTCTGCAAAAGATAAATGTGGTCTCTCACTAAGAATGCTGTTAACCAGAAAGCTACAGAAACTAGGAATAAACCGCTGAAGACAGGAAGGTATGCCGAACCTGTAAGAATAAATATTAAAGCTGAAGTGAAATCTTCAACAAAAGTAGATATGAAGAAGCATCTAAAACTAGTTCTCAATGCCTAAGAACCCAACAATCTTCACAGTAGAAGAGGGCAGATTGAAAATAGTCTTTGTTAGAACTCATTGACACCACGAACTCAACTAATGATCAATGTAGCAGCAGAAAACCTTCTTTCAGAATTCAGATACACTTATAATAATCATCAACGGCATATTAAACATTTAATAGGACCCATTGTAATCAAATTTAGAATTATACAAAGTTGCGGAACAAAATAACATATGGAACTCAGAGTTATCAGCAAAAACTATGCAAAAAAGTTTCCAGGTAGCATGGATAACACTAACCTGGAAGCTTTATACCAACAAAACACATTTAGCACTCCGCTAAATGGAGGTGATAGGGAATACAACTATGCATATCACTCAAAATGCTCATTGGACAAACACGAAGAGCTTGTTTGCCTTTCCGAATTTTATCATTGAAGATTTTGGTAACTAGGAAAATGAATAAAAGAATCTTAAACAAAGAAAGATCAAAGCAAGATAACGAGTAAGCCTATACTATTCTGTCCTAAATGCAATTAACAGTAATAACCTAACATGGGATTATAATGGCTGTTCATTTTCACAATGCAATGCTACATGCATCAAATTTCGCATTCTAACCAACAGAAAGACTACATTACAGAGCCTAGAACTAAAGAACAGGGAAAACTCAAAAAGGCTGCCATAGCCCATAGCACAATATGCTCCAAGATTTTCCCTTTCTTAGCACATGTTTAATCATCCTTTCTTGAAATTCCATCCTAAATTACCCTACAATTGAACATAATCGCTTACCTTAACTCTCACCCCCTTCCCCATCAACTTCTTTGAGCTCTTGGCTGCCATTTTTTGTTTCTTCATTCCCACGAACTTCCCATCATTGGAATCAATTCTCTGAGCTTTTCCATAATCACCATTTGTGAATATTATACCCTCAAACGACATAACCTCTAAGCAATCATACTCGCCCTTATCAAGCACTTCCGGCGGCGGCGGCTGGCAGACCGCCGGATTAAAAGCTCTTCCACACTTGGCATTCTGACACTTGATGCAATACTTTTCGTACTCCTCAGGATACTCATATAAATAATAGCAGTAAGTACACACCGTCCAGAAGGTTCGAAATTCCGACCCGTTCCCACCGTTGAGCTTTATATCCAGCTCTTGGTCGTACTGGGATTTCCGGTCCGGGTCCGAGAGCACCCGCCAAGCCTTGGTGACGAGGCCGTAGGCCTGCTTGGACAAATCGTACGGATTCTCGTTAGGGTTTAAGAGGAGGGCGAGCTTCTCGTAATTGGATTTGATGAGCTGACGATCGGCGGTGAAGCGAGGAACGCCGAGGATCGCGTAGTAATCGGATTTCTTATTCGATCCCTCGCCGGCGCCGCTGCTGATGGTGGCGGAGAAGGCGGATATCACATCTGCTATGGCGATGAGCTGGCCGGGGCCCGGGTGGTCCGGGTCGGATTCCTGAGCTCGAAGAGCATGTTTACGGCACTCTTCGTAGTTCTGCTTGTCGAGGAAGGACTCGGAGGATTTGAGGAAGGCCTGAGCTCTGGAATCGGGTACGGGTCGGGCCTTGCTCCCCATCTTTGCTCTGGAATTGCAGCAGTGAGGATTGGAGGATTTGGAAATTATGGACGGTTTCGGGTCCTGAAGTTGCTCCAGTGCTCCTCCGGCTTTGATTCCTAAAAATAAAATATAAAATATAAAAAAAATCTTGGAAAATTTGTCAATTTGACCACTTAGTCATGAAAATAGTGCACTTAGTTTCCCTAAGTATAAATAAATAAATAAATATTGTTACATTCAAATTCTTTAAATTTGTAAAGTTATTCAATTGAGTCCAAATTAAATTATATAATAGGTTAATTATTCTCAAGCTTGACACGTGTTATTTTTAAAAATATTTTTTTTATTTTTTAAACTTTTTATTTATTTATTAAATTATTAAAAAAAAAAGTATGTCCTTCGACTGTCCACGCCAAACAACCAATGGCTGCCTCCACCACGGACTCACTTGATGAGCTTCAAATGCCTCCTTTTTATAGTTTAAAAAAAAAAAATGTAACCAACTGATCTGAAAATGTGATGCATGAAATCCCCTATCCAAGGTGCTTCATTCATTCAAAAATACTGTCTAAATACTAGTTCAAAATACTAGAAATTAATTAGAGAAATTCGCCCTTTTCTTGACCACTTTCTGACTCTGGCACATAAACTTCTGAGGTAGATCCAGGCAGAAGACTGTAGCTTCTGAAATAGATCCAGACTGTAATCCAGAACCTAATACATTCTACCAAAATAACCTAAGTTTTGACTAATAACTTACCTAGTTACAAACTTACAACTTACTCACACTATTTATGAGTTAATACTAAAAATGGTCATCAACTATAATGGTTTTATCAATTTCGTCCTAAACGACTTTGGTGACCTAATGTAGTCCCAGACTTTTGTGTTTTTACTCAAGGTAGTCATTCGTTTGTTATTTTGTCCATTTGATGTTAAATAGATGGACGATTTAATATTGACATCTCTTTATTCCTATACTTGCGAAGTGCGAAATTCATCTGTCTTTTACGAATTACTCCTAAACCTGCGAATATAAAATTTGATTTGCATGTTTGGGAGTAATTCTACGAGTAATCTGTAAAAGACAGAGGATTTCGCATTTTGCAGGGTTGAGAGTAAAGAAAGGCCAATATTGAGATTATTGAATTGTCCATTTATTTAACACCAATTCAATGAAAAAACAAACGGATGAATAAATTAAGTAAAAACACAAAAATATGGAACTACATTAGGTCATCAAAGTCGTTTAGGACGAAATTGAAAAAACTCACCATAGTAAATAACCATTTTGAGTATTAACTCCACTATTTCTCTATTGGGTAAAAATAGTTAATACAATATGTTATTTACTCTTTTGCTAAGATCTTATAAGCTATTCATTGCTAACATATTATAAATTTTTAGTTAAATAGATTTTTTTAAACTCCTAATTAAATTGGAAAGGAAATTTCAATTACAAAATAAGTATAGTTTTTAATTTTATTTATTCCATTTTTTATAAGGGGAAAAGTGAAAAACAAAATAATTCACGAGTTACAATATGGGTATAGACTTACTTTCTCAATTATTGACGTGGTTTTATTTATTTATTTATTTATTAGATATATATTTAATTAAAGGGCAATTTATATCGTAGACCAGGATTCACAGTACATTGTAAATTCTAGTCCAATATATAAAATTTGGCTTCATAAGGTACAGAATTCAGATTCGTAATGCACAAAATTCATATTTATAATACACATACACATAAACACGATATAATGAACATGAATTCTGTGTATTATGTTAAGTGTTTATGTATCATCAATTATATAATACACATAATTCATGTTCATTATATTGTGTTTATGTGTATATGTATTATGAACATGAATTATATGCATTATAAACATAAATTTTATGTATTGAACCATGATTTATAATGTATTATAGACCCTGGTCCACGATATAACGATGATAATTAAAGTGCTTGAAACGGGTTGAAGATTTGACATCCATGCGGGGTCGGGAATGTAACATATATGGGCCAGAGAATTTGGGCTGCATCTATTGGGCTTGCCAAACTTGCGTGTAAGCAAGAAGAAGAACATATAGGCAAATTATGCCCTGGACCCGTGTCCACAATGAATTGTGGACACGGGCTCAAAACGACGTCGTTTTAAAAAAAAAAACGCGTCATTTAGTTAAAAAAAAAAAAAATTACGCGCGTTTTACCGTTAACGGTGTTTTTTTTTTTTTTTTTGAATTATGAATGTATAGTTATGCCGTTATGAATGTACAGTTATGCCATTATGAATGTACAGTTATGCAATTATGAAATTATTAACACAGATCTCTAACATTATGAACTTACAATTATGAACATATATAGTGATAAAATTATGACCATGGAGCTTTAAAATTGTGAATATAGAGCTTCGAAGATTATGAATGTACAGTTATGGAGTTATGAATGTACAGTTATAGAGTTATGAATCTACAGTTATGGAGTTATGAATCTATAGTTATGAGATTATGAATCTACAGTATGGAATTATGAATGTATAGTTATTGATCGAATTATGAACAAAGAGCTCTAACATTATGAACTTACAATTATGAACATAGAGCTCTAAATTTGTGAACATAAAGCTTCGAAAATTATGAATGTACAATTATGGAGTTATGAATGTACAGTTATGGAGTTATGAACGAACAGTTATAGAGTTATGAACATACAGTTATGGAGTTATGAATGTACAGTTATTAACATATAGTAATAAAATTATGAACATATACTCCTATAACGAAGCGGTCTGAATTTTTTTTTTTTTTTAAAAAAAAAAAAAAAAAAAAAAAGAGAGATAACAGTGCCTAACGGCACTGTTACCCGTGTCCAGCAAGCATGCTGGACACGGGTCCAACGCATAACGATTGGAACATATAGGTACTTTTTTTTTTTTTTTTAAAGGAAAAGTCCGTAATTGCTACACGAATATGTGTTTTGGGTGGAACTCGTTTTAACATTATGTATAAATATTTGGAAGAGAACAAATTGTATGTTTCCAAAAAACTAAAATATTACGTCAGGAGAGTCTCCACGTCTTCTTTCACCTGTCATGTGTCAAACTAACATTTCTGATGTGGTAAATACGATGATTCCCACAACTACGCACAAATACTGAGGTCGGGTTGTAGGTAGACCCTTCTCCAATATGCTGGTTGGTTTAAGTCTTAAATTTTGGGTGATGACGTAATGTCAGAGGGTTCCGAGCTAAATAAGGTCAATTAGAAGTGTTCAAAAGTCTCATATTTCACGTAATTAATGCAATATTTATTATAGGGGAATGAAAGGGGAGATATGCCGGACTTTCGACATGTCCGCCACATGATGCGCATGCAGTTGGTGCACTCTGGAATGGTGCCAAGTCAGCCACATGGGCTTTAGATCTTTTACCACCCACTAAGACGGGGCAAATCTATGCAAAGTTATGTGTCGAGCAATCTAGCTTGGGAAGATCCTCCTGACCCAATACGAAACGCGCGTTATCGCATCTGTTAATTAGTTAAGTTATTGTCTCTTAGGTCGGCATGGTCGGGTTCATGATTGGTCCAGATCGAGAATGATCTCCCTAAGTGACACGACCGGATACTAATTAAGTGTACGGTACTAGAGGGATCGTATACCCTAGGATTATTTCTGATGGGGAATATACCCCGGGTTCAGGTTCTCCGTACGCTCCGTGCTCCTGTTTGGGTCGGGATCAAACGGTTCGGATCGTGATCATAGTCATCGGATCAAGGTCAAACCCGTCTCAACTGGGCCTATAAAAGGGACCCTAGTCCTTCTTTTTAGGGGTTCCTCCCACTCTATTCTCTCACTCTAAGCTCTCCCCCTTCTTTCTACAAAAACCACAAGAACATTAATGAAAAAATGAGTTATTTGAGTTACTTCTTGTCTACTTTGCATTGTTACATACATACAATATACATTCTACATTCACGGGATTAACCGTATCAATTTCCTATCAGCTTCTATCCTCTCTTTTTCAAAAAAATATTTTTATAATATCTAAATTTAAAATTGTTTTGGTTTAACAATACTTTAAATATAAATTCTAAATACATAAATTGTTTGCATTAATACTAAATTAAATACTACAAACAATTAAATTGTAAATAAGTTACGTAGCCAAATTTCGTTAATTAAATTAAATACGTAAAATGAAACGGACAAATACTTCCCAACAGGCAAAGCAACAAAGTTGTACTGGAACGACACAACACGAGAGCAGCGTGTAAAACAAACTAATATGTACCAATGACCGCTCATATTATATGTTCAGCAATCAGCATTTTATGTATGTGTACTTCCAATATTTTTTCCCTCAAAAAGTTTTTTTTTTTTTTGTTTTGCTTTTTTTTTTTTTTGTTTTTTTTTTTGTTTTTTTTTTTTTTGATGTCTAGACGAAGAGTGTATTGGCAAGAATTAAACTTGTGACCGCCTAATAATTATACTATTCTAAAAAAAGGATGATAATTATACTGGCCAAAAATATTGTGGTCGAGCGGCATGACTGTGACTACCGAACCCAGTGGAGACATTGACTCTTTGTACTTGAAAATGTTGAAAAATATGTATAGAGGTGATGAAACAAGTAACATAATCATCTCAATTTGTTGTAGAGGCTTATCAGTAGCATAGTTCAAATTAACTTATGTATCAATATATTATTCACATCTCTCCTAATGATAAATCCAATGTATTAAGAGTGTGTTTGGAAATCCGAAAAATGATTTATGGAAATCATTTTCTGAGTTTTGAGTGTTTGGTAAGTAGGAATACACTAAAGTTAATGGAAAATGAAGTTGGGTCAATGAAAAATAGAGTCACTTTTATGAAAAATGACTTCCCCTTTTATTTAGTGGAAGTCATTTTCCGCTTCAACCTTCTTCTCCGCTTCTTCCTTCTCGACATCACTTCTTCGCATCTTCGCTTCTGGACATCGCTTCTCGTCATCGGAAAACCAAGGGGAAACGCAAATTCTGGATTTCCAAGTCGGAAACCAAATTGGTTTCCGACTTGGAAATCCATAAATTGGAAATCCAAGTCGGCGGAAACCAGAAATTGGTTCTCTGGTTTCCGGCCGCTGAAACCAGAGAGTAAGTACTGCTCTCTGGTTTTCTATTGTGCAGCCAAACACCGGAAAGGAAAATGACTTATGAAAAATGACTCATTTTTCAAAAGTCATTTTCCAAAAGTCATTTTCATGCTTTCCAAACATACCCTAAGTTTATGAACTCAATTTGTCCATTTCAACAACAAATCAATTTTTACTTTCTTACTTTTAAATCTAACGCTTACTAAACGAATTTTAAGTGACTGATTAAATATGAAACACAAAGTCAATTTTTACATGTTAACTAAGCAGTTAGCAGTTTGTTTCTATGTCAAGTTCTTCGAAGTGGTTCATTGACACTCCTGCTATCATTTGTAATTGTAATGTTATAAGTATGGAAATAAAATAAAAATCTTGTTTGTAAAAAAGAAGAAGAAAATGGGTCAAATAAGTTCTCAAACTTTAGCTGAAAAATCAATTAGCCCCTAAAATTTTTTAAATGTGCAATTACACCTATCAACAATTCATTTTAATGCAATAAAGCTCAAAAACTGATTAATTAGGGTTTCGACCATCATTTGACGAAATTTTAGGTAAAGAAGGGCGCCGATCACGGAGAAGGAAGGCAAGGTCGACTTCTCTATAGAGAAGGCAACCCAAGCGAGAAGGTGACCCAGTGATCGCCTTCTCCGTGCCGGTCGCCGATCACTTTCTTGCTAGAAATTTCGTCAGAGGGTAGTCGATCCCTAATACTTATAATAGTAAATCATTAATCCATTTATATATTAATTAACTTTTTTGTTACCAGGACTATTTGGTCTAATGGTATCCGGGTTGGACTTTTATTTGAAAGATTATGAGTTTGAGCTTCAGTGGAGGCGTTATTGATTCTTTGTGTTTCATTAGGCAGTCACTGAACAGATACAACAGTTGGTTGAGAAAGTGTCTTTTTAAAATTTGAGGGTGTATTTGATATTTAAAGAAAAGAAATTTAATTCGAGTACAACTAATAATTTACATTAAATTGTGTTTCAGGAACAGGGACTTCTGTGTTTCTGTCTGTCTCTCTCCAATGTCGACTTTTATCCAACAGATAAATTGTTTTCCCCGAAATACTAAACTACAAAACCCAACCAAGCTGACAAAACAAGGCAAAGAATTTACTGTTCAACCAATCCATACTTCTTTCTCTGCTCTGTCGCTATCACACATTACCCACTCGCTGCCTTTGAGTGTTTCTTTATCACAAAAACACTCTCTCTCTCCCTCCCCCATTAGTCCTTTCTCTCTCAAATGCTTAAATCGGAAAGCTCAAGAGAAATCTATGGCCATTTAAAGGGTGTAGTAGATGTAGGGTTTCATGTGTTCTTGTCATTTTAGTATTTCCCTCTTCTAATTTTGGCAAAATGCAGACATTTCGCCCCCCTAAATTTCTCCACTTTTAGAAATATAGCCTGCCTTACCACTCTATATATAGCCTTGTAGTTGTGGATTGTGGTTTCATCCATTTGTATCCCGGTTTATTCCCTGTGCCCTTTGAATTTCTCCGAGGTTTTTGTCTGGGTTTTCTTGATTCTGCTGGATAAGTGGCAAAGCAGTAATCTTTCTCCTTTTTTTCCGGGATGGTTCGGGAGAAGATTCAGATCAAGAAAATCGACAACGCGACGGCGAGGCAGGTGACATTCTCCAAGAGGAGAAAAGGGCTTTTCAAGAAAGCTGAGGAGCTTTCTGTGCTGTGTGATGCCGATGTTGCCCTCATCATTTTCTCTTCCACTGGGAAGCTCTTTGACTATGCTAGCTCCAGGTACTGCTTTCTTGTTCTTCTCTCTGCACTTAGAACTAACATGAATATATCTATATATGCAAGTAGGAATCTTTCCGACAGTGTTTCTTAGTCTCCCATAGTTGTGTTGTTTGGTGTTTTTGATCTTAATTTCACTTGAGGTTTATGATGGCTTGCCATTCTTTTGAGTCATAGTGAGCTTCTTAGTTCTTACTGCCTAGCAAGAAGCTTGGTTGTGGGTAAAGACACAATATTGAGTCCCGGGTAGTCGTAATGTGAGAGTTAAGCCGAATATGGTTGAGTCTTTATGAGCATTCCACTTAATGGGCCGCTATGTTACCGTGATTTACGGAGCTTGGGGCAAGGGAGTTTGGCTTGTGACACTAGACAGTCCTTCCACTGTGTCCTTGAGTTACTGTGATGTTGGACCGGAATGTGGGGGCCTCTCAATTAATGTGTGGCTGAGTCAGTGTGATTTATCTTCCACCGTCCTGTCGGGGCCGGGACGTGGGAGTCTGGGGTGAGAATTTTGTTTTTGTGGGCAAGAAAACCATGACTAACTATAGTTTTCAAACAAAAAAAAAAAAAGAAAAAGATGGGGTTTTCAAGATCTCATTTCCCTCAAAGTAAACATGATTGATCATTCAAATTTTAGGGTTACCATGAGTAGATTAAGCTATGAGATTTGTAATGGATAATAATAAAGGAATAGTTTTGATGTCTTACCATAGATACAAATTAGACCGTTGTCTTGGTAACCACAAGGTTTCAAGTTCGATTCTTATAAGAGCCACCTTCTTGGTTTGGGTTGTTAGCTATAGACAATCTAGGCTGGTTTAATTTACCTCACCATTTTTGTGGTCCCCTCGTATCAGCAGAGGACCGCAAGGCAGACTTCACCTGAAGTGCACTTTTTGGATAATGGTTGAAAGCTTTCCCATATCTCGTAGAACTTCTAATTTGAGTAGTGGTGATTGGTTATGTGGAAGGAAAGTGATGCTCGGCTTGAGAAAGTTGTTCAAGTTTACCTTTTCAAAGTTCTCATTCTTTTGTGCAGCATGAAAGGAATACTTGAAAGACGGAATCTGCACTCGAGGAACCTGGAAAAAATGGACCAACCATCGCTTGAATTGCAGGTACTTTCCACATTAGTCCATTTCTTTACCATTCGGTCTTTAAGTTACATTGAGATTTCTTAGCTTAATAATGGAAATTTATGCGCTGCAGCTAGTGGAGAACGCTAACCATTCCAGATTAAGCAAGGAAATTGCGGATATGACCCATCGGCTTAGGCAGATGCGGGGAGAGGATCTTCAAGGAATGAGCATCGAGGAGTTGCAGCAACTGGAGAAATCCCTCGAAACAGGACTGACCCGTGTTATAGAGAAAAAGGTACGTGCAAATTTTAGTTCTGGGGTGGTCGTTTTGGCATATGTTCTTAGTGTAGATTTTATGTATGATTGCTTGCATGACACTTTAATTTCCCGGTTTCCCCTATCATGACAGGGCGAGAAGATTATGAAGGAGATCAATGAACTTCAACAAAAAGTATGGAACCTAACTAAGAATCTATGGTCCATTTTCATTAACTAATTATGATGCAAATGATATGTGTGGTTTAAGGTTTTTCTTAATGCCAATCGATTTGTAAAAACTTCAGGGAATGAATCTAATGGAAGAAAACGAGCGATTAACACAGCAGGTATGTCTGCGTTTTCATGAAACATATCATCGAACTTTAATCTTTACCAAACGTCACGAGCTAAATAGGGAAACTCGAAATTTTGTTATGTGAAGGTGATGGCAATATCAAACGGTCAGAGGGTCATCACAGCAGTTGCTAATTCAGACAATTTGTTGAACGAAGAAGGCCTGTCCTCCGAGTCTATCACTAACGTTTGCAACTCGACCAGCCCTCCACAAGACTACGATGATAGCTCCGACACCTCCCTCAAGTTGGGGTTAGTGTTAAGTTAAATATGTTGAGCATATAACCATTAACGTGCAATCCAACTATCAGCTTAGGTTTTTAGTTGAGATGGAGCACATGCTTCAATTTGGTATCAGAGCCAGATCCCCACGTGTTGCTTGGAACCCACCACCGCACACGTGAAGGGGCGTGTTGAGCATATAACCATTAATGTGCAATCCAACTATCAGCTTAGGCTTCAATTAAATATACTCATCCATGATATGATTGCTCGCTTCTCAACTTCTGCATTCATCTCCGGTTATTACAACTATTTATTCTTGCAGGTTGCCCTACTGATCGAGGCTGAGAACCGAGAAGAGAAGCCATGGGAGCCTCTCGATCTAGTAGTGTCTACCATATGTAAGCTAGATAAATATTACTGTAATTAACTACTGATATATGTGGTACTGTTAAAATTGCAATGGACAGCTTCCATATAACATTCCCTGGCCTCTCGGGTACTTTTGAATATGAGTTTCTGATGTTTGAATGTTAGTTAGTTGTTATAAAGATTGTATTAGTTATAGTTGTTATAACCTATGTATGTTTTTGGAATGTTTCCTACATACAATATTTCCCACCCTCTCAGGTGCTTTTGAATATTAATTTATGATGTTTGAATCTTTTTTTTGGTACGCTATAATTGTTATAAACACTTATTGTTAAGGGTGTTGATCGAGAACAATGCCTTTTGCATCGGATATAAGCTATGTATGTTTTTGAAATTGTATCGGGTATTGTGGGACCCAAAAGCAATTGTTGTACTTGGTGTAAAAGACACGCAGTACTGATCGACACTGTAAACTTTTCCTGGTCTCTCGGGTGGCCTTTGAATTGAATATTAGTTTATGATAGTTTGAATCTTGTTATAAATACTATACTAAAGACGGCTAAAATGATGTTTTTGGCATCAATAAGCAATTAACCATAACATAAAGAATCAAAATGGTTAAAATCTATATGAAAATAGCTCCAAGGTTTAGTTGGATAATGATAAAACTTTTTCTATGATTTAGGAGTAATCAATCTACCTCAAATGATAGTAAGATTTGATGCAAGTAGCATTTTGGAACCCAGTTAGTTGTTGAGAGATCTCAATGGTGATCTCTCTCCAGCCATGGCAGCTTCAACAGTCTTAGTTGGAGAGGGGCATCTGTTCATCAGGTTCTCTTTTACAGGATCGAAGAATTCATTAACTCTTTTCATGTCTATACCCAATCCTCCATTGCTGTCGAAACTCTGCATGATTCTTCCCAGTTCTTTAGTTAGCTGTTTGTCTTCCATGGATAACTGGCTTATCCTATCTGACACTCCTGTTAAGATCTCCAGCAGCATTTCCCTATCGGTTAACACCTTCGTTGCATTCTGCTGCTCGATTTTCTGTTTTAAATCGTTTTCCAGCTCCGAGTTAATCATGTTTTTCTCTTGGATTTCGATCTCTTTCAGGACCACGGCCTCTCTGATTGTTTCCCAGGTTTGGCGGAACTTATCAGTGTCTGCCTGCATCTGGAGAAGCCGGGACAAGAAAGTGGCGGTTCTGTTCTCGAATTCTTGTTCAAGTGATGAGACGAGGTCCTGGAGGTCCTCGATTTTCTGGTGAAAACTCGCCTTCTCTTTCTCTGCTTCTTCTTGTGCTAAGATAGACCCTTCGAGTTCAGAATTCAGCAAGGCGATTTCTGTTTCTTTCTCGGATAGCATGGCCAAGAGGCTGTCTTTCTCCTGTCTGAGATCAATCTCGACGTCCATCTGGGCAAAGAGCGAATCTTCTACCTTTCTTCGCATTTGCAGGTTCTCATCGAGGCTCGATTTCAACCTCTCTGCAATGGTCCTCCATATCTGCAACTCTAATTCGGCTTCATTCCCCTCATACAAAACTTCAGCCAGTTCTTCTTGTGCTTCTGTCAAGTCGCTTTCTGTTTTCCTCACCTGCTCCTTCAAATGTTCTTGATAGGCCAATGCCTCTTTGAGCATTTCCTTTAGTTTATCAAGCTGTTCTTCGTCGATCAAATTCAATGACTCGATCTTGGCTGATAACACTGCTACCTTCTCACGCTCCTCTTCGAGATCCTTTTCTGCTCTGATAATCGCACTGTTCTTCTCGTCTAATTGTTGGATTAGAGTAGAAATGTGAAGCTCTTCGTCTTTGTTTTTTAGATTCACAGCAGCATAGGCGTTAGCGAGGCTCTGATATACCTCGGAGAGGTGTGATTTCAAGACGAGTAACATCACAGAAGTTTCTTCGTTCTGCAATGTTAACTCGAACATTAATGAATGGCAAGACTGCAGCTCTTTCTGAAGCTCGGTGATCAAAGCGTTTTTGTTCTTTAACTCGGATTTGCAGCAATCAAGATCCCCAGCCAAATCCTCCATTTCAGAAGCCCATTGAGCTTCTTTGGCCTTGAACTTGTTTCTGAGTTTTGAGAGTGAAGAATTCCCAGATGCCTTGATTCCAGCTTCCTGGAGTTCTTTCAGGGATGCCATTAATTCCTGTTTCTCTTGTTCTAGTTTTCGAATTTTGTATTCTGTTTCCTTGTGGATTGCTTCCCTCGAACCCATGGCGTTTCTTAGGTTCGCGATTTCTTTATCCCTTTGAGCACACAAACCGTCGATTCTTGAATTGGCTTCCTCGTATTCTGCAGAAACACTGTCAATGCAGGATTTGGATTCAGAAAGTTGAGCTTCCAGGAATTTTCTCCTGGTTTCTTCATGGGCTAAGGCTTGATTACACATCTGTAATCGGGTTCGAAGATCTTCTGAAATCCTTGTTTGGGAATCTAAGGTGGACTGCAATGTGGAGATATGATCAAACAGTGTTTCTTTTTCCTCCTCCAACTCTTTCACCCTTTCGCGAAATTTCTTCTGGAGATTCTCATGAGCTTCAAGGAGATGACAGAAATGTTCTTTCTTCCATTTAAGCTCATCTTCAAGCTTCCTATTCTCCTCCTCTAACTTGAACAGAACTTCATCTCTCTGTCTCAATTCTCTGCAGGTTTTAGCTCTTTCCTCAGCTTCAGAACACATCTTCTGAGAATCACTCACCATTTCCCTCAACCTTCCATTTTCATTTCTCAGAGATTGTATCTCCTGGCTCTGATCCATTTTCACCACATTCACCTCGTCCAATGCCATCACCATCTTCCTGTTCTCCTCCTCGAATTTCTTCGCCTTCTCTGCAGAATCTGCACGAAGCTTATCGTTTGCAGAACTCAAACACTTGATGGCAGATTCTTTTTCCTTCAGATTTGCCTTCAGTTCTTCATGCATCTGCTTTGCAGCAGAAAGTTCATCCTCCTTCAAACTCAGCTCCAGTGTGAGCTTATCCACTTTAGAACACCCATCCTGAGCCTTGATCACTTGTTCATCATAAGCTCTTCTCAGATTCTCCATGGATTCTGCTCTCATCTCATGCTCTTTCCTCAGCTTCTCATTCTCTGCCATGGCTTCATGTACTGTACCCATTTCCTTCAATTTCTCTTGAATTTCACCTGTTCAAAATCCAAACACAAAACTATTCCTGTCAAGAATCCAAAAGAGAAAACCCAGACCCTTGAAATCACCACTAATCAATCTATGATCTACCATGAAATTTCCAGAAAGACTGAAAAAAAAAATAAAAAAAATCCACACTTTATGCAGTCTCCATCTTCCCCTATCAGAAGAACTGGATAGAATTATCAGAAATGGACAAGAATGGAAGAAGCAGGACATATATAAACACAATTCATCAACTTCATACAACAAAACCGGCATTTTCTTTTACCAATTTTCTGCATTTCTATGCCACCAAACACGAAATGAAAGTATGGGTATTGAAGAATTCGTACCTGAATGTCAGAATTGGGCTCGCCGATGCAACAGAAGCAAACGATTTGAATGATCCGTCTGGAATTCGAGAGATGAAAGAAGAATTGGAAGAAAGAGAGAGTTTAGTGGTTTCAGAAACGGGAGAATAGATAGCCGTTGTAACCCGGAAAGAGAGAAAGATTTAAAAATTCCGACGTGGAAGAGTTACCGTTGGTCGTTTTAATGCCACATTAACCTCGGATAAATCGACATGGACCCTACCAAATGTTTTCTTCAGATTATGCCCTACAACAAGTAATATTATATAATAACAATTATCTCCGAATATAAAGTAGAACTTGATTTCACACTTTGGTTGAGACAAATTTTGAAAACCAAATAATTTCTGTTAGGGAAATATTGCATTGTTACAAAGTTAGTAGTACTCAAAAGTCAAAATAAATAAATAAATAAATCAAGAAACGTCTTTCTTGTCCTATATATAAGGCTGAATCAAGTAAAAATTATTATATTTAAATAAAATTGTGGATATATCACTATTGGCAAGCATATAGAGGGCGACAGATTTAAAGAAAATGACAATGGTATAATGGTGCATTAGAAAAAGATCCAATGACTATCATAAAATGTAATTTAAGTTTTTGAGTTTTTGTTTTGCACTTTTAGAGTATTGTACACTTTTAGTGCTTATATTATGCATTTAGTAGTGTATTGTTTTTTTTTTCTATTGTTCACTTATTTTACATCTAAAACTATACTTTTAACAATTCTACAACTTGCTTATAAACATTAAGGTCATGTACTTTTTGAGTGATGAGGAAAAATCACAACTATTATCCAAGAATGTATATTTGATAAACTTCACTCATGTGTAATAACTCGTAAATTACAGAGAAGAGGTAAACCGCATAGAAAGACCATGTGCGATGAGGTCAAGCTAGCATTTTTAGATTGTTTGAAATGCACTTTAGCATTCGTATTGTACACTCTTTTTCATTTGTATTGTGCACTTCTACCAATTTTTATAATGCACTTTTAAAGGTTTTGGTATGTACACTCTTTTATAGTTTCTTTAATGTCCTTTTAGGAGTGTTCGTTTCAAACAATGTTTTCAGGTAATGTAACATTTTCAAGAATTTTACATAACCTAAAAGTTGTTAGTTGGGGACAGGGCCGTATTTTAAGTTTTGGTGGCCCTGTTCTAGTAAATAAATGTGGCCCTACCAAAATCATAATTTTTAAAACTAATACATGCAAGTTTCGAACCTTTGACCTCCAAGTTAAAATACAATAAATACACATTCTTACCATCTCTTCATGAAACCTTTAAAGTTTAATTGAAAACTTTTTAATTTTTATTTTTAAACTAGCTAGGTAAAAATTAAATATTGAACCTCTAAAATTTGGGGCCCCTCTAAAATTGGGGGCCCTGTGCGGTAGCCCAGCTTGCACAGCCTAAAATCCGGCCCTGGTTGGGGAGGTGAGGGGATGCGATTTCAGTGAAAGTTACAAAAAATGAACTAAAAAAAAAGTTTAACAATCTCACATTCTCTATAGTAGTCTTACATTCTCTTGAATCAAATGAATAAATATGATATTACAACATTTGCAATCCTAGGGTTATGTGAGATAACTTCAACCAATTGACTGTTAGAAATTTTGTAATGCACTTTTAGTTATCATATTCTACACTTTTAGTGATTATACTATGCACTTTTAAATTTTCTTTACACACTTTTAGTGCTTATACTCTATACTTCTTTTAGATTTTATATTATGCACTTTTAGTTATTATACTCTACACTTTTAAATTTCATATTATATACTTTTATATATATCATATTATGCACTTTTAGTATTTATACCCTGCACTTTTATATTTCGTATTGTGCACTTCTACTGCTTTTATATTTGCACTTTCAAAGTTTCTGTTATGCACTACTTGTGCATTTTTAGATATGGAGTATTATATTGAACAATATTAATGTATACTTAACACTTTTATTATTACCTTAATGTATTTTCATAACTCTTATAATGCATACTTAAAAATATTTTTTGTGCATTTTAGTCTTTCCTAAACATTGTAGCAGGATTCAAGTAAATAAAGATTGAGATTGTAGAAGCATGCATGAGATTCTTATATATAGCTACATCTAATTCAAAATCAATTAATGTAGTAATTATAGATAAAAAAAACCAAGATTTCTTGTGAAATATATGAAATATGATCAAATAGACAATTAAACCAGACACTTTCAAAAAAAAAAGACAATTAAACCAGACAAAAAATATATAATTAAACCATTTAGCAAAAAAAAAAAATAATAATGAAATTGAATTATTAAACCTTCTAAAATCAAGCAAAATCCTCCAAACATAAATTAAAAATATCAGTAAAATTTCACCACCAATTCAGAAACAAAATTCAAACTAAAGAACTATATATTAGCAGCTTAATTAAAGTCGTAATAAGACCGGAAAAAAAAAAGAGTGAAGAGATGCATATCCAAATTTAAAAGTTGGAATGAAAATAATATATGAAGATACCTTTTGAGAATTTGAAAAAGTTTAGATCATAGATAGCTTTATCTTCGATTTGAGACGAAACAATCGTCTTGATTTGAGCCAATTTCATTTCATATATGAGATGAAGCAATTGCCTCCACTTGAGACAACTTCGCCACATATTTAAGGCAAATTTTTCTGAAACAAAGCAATCATCTTGACCTGAGACGACTTTCTCACATATTTGAATTAGGAAACCATCTTGATTTGAGACGAAGCTTGAAACAAAGAACCCAATTGAAGAAACTAAACGAAGCATTGAGAAAGATCTAAGTTGTATGTCACCAACTGTATTTGATTTGTAGGGACTAGGGAGAATAAAGAAAGAAAATATGAGAATGATCTAATTTGCAAATACTAATCGTATTTTTGTGGGGATGGGGAATCCCTACCCCCAAGTAATCCTCGCAGATTTGGGGATGGGAAAAATATTCCTCTCGAATACAATGATGGGGATAGGGGAGAAAGTTGGGGGGGGGGGGGGGGGGGGATGGGTTCGAGGCAAAAAAAATTTCCACAAGTTCTTTAATTGTTCTACAGAAGCAAAACGAAACACCCCCGAAGAACTACCTCACCCTTTGCCTAGCAACCCTCAAGGCATAAGTCCCATTGCTCAAAGATTCCTTAACTTATACGTTCTCTACCCTATTGTCATCTCTATATATAGATTAGAAGAAATATTTTGATACTTTTTATAATCAATATTAACTTATCAAATAGGAAATTAGAAGTAGGACACTTTTATATACTTTTCTCATTCCAATTGATATAACATAAACACTTATTTTTATCATTTTTAGAAGGAAACACAATCGCCTTTACCTCTAAGTCTCTAACTTTTCATGTAGTTATCCATCTTGTTCTATAATTTCTTTAAGACACCAATAAAGAGTTAATACCCAATTTAGTCATTGATTATAGTGATTTTTTTTTTATTTAGCCCTAAACGACTTTTTATGCATGCTTAATTAATTAGGTCCTCGAGACCTCGACTTTGATGGTTTTACTCAATTGAATTCTTTGTTGAGATAGCTTGGTAATTTCACCTGTATTAATATTCAATTTAGTCCACGATTATAGTAGTTTTACCCAAATTAGTCTTCGACTATATTGATTTTTCTTAATTTAGTCTTTAATTTGATTCTAATAGTTGAAGACTTAATTGGGTAAAATTATCAAAGTCGAGGACATAATTAAGCATAACAAGTCGTTTAGGACTAAATTAAGAAAACTAACCATTATAGTCCATGACTAAATTGAATATTAACTCCACCAGTAAACAATTATAGTACTCGTGTGTCTTTAAATAACTGATTAATGGATTAAACAACTAATAACAAGTTAGTTTGGTTCACAAAATAGGTCCAAATTGATATAGTATTCTTAAGAATAGACTTATTTCATTATTTGATAAGTCATTTTATTCTCAAGACTAGTATTCAAGTACAATCCTCTCTTGATCCTAAAATATTTGCATCCCAACCCCTTAGACTTCAATCGTCTCACTTCGGCCCCCTAAGTTTTTTCTCTCCTTATCTAGACCTCACAAGTATTGTCCATGGGTTTTCATTATTCACTGGACCCAATTAACCCTAGGCCTTGACTCCCGGGGCCCAATCAACTTTATACACAAAGCCCATTCCCCATCACTTCCCATCCAACCCAATTTGTTAAGTTACACAAATTTTTTTTGAATGGTACTGACTCTATTATAATACAGTATATGTTCATAACTACTTTTTCAACCAATTGAATCTCAAAGAGTCAATAATGTCTCCACTGAAGCTTGATCCCACAACTAGAGCTGTCAAAATGAGTCCAACCCGTCAAGTTGGGCCCGTTTAACCCGTGTTTTAGATGGTCTGGGTTGGAGAATTTACAATCCAGCCGTTTTCAACTCTACTCGTGTAACCCGTGTGGGATACGTGTTATACGGGTTGGCCCGTGGAACCCACAGGCCAACCCATATCCCCAGCCCGTTTCCAGTTCAGCCCGAGACGGGCCAGCCCGTATGGGTCGAGCTGGCTCATTTTGACAGCTCTACCCACAACCTCCCACTTAAAGGAGTAAACTTGATGCCATTGGACTCCAAGATCCTAGGCAATTTACACAAAATTTAAAACCACCAAAAAACAAATTTTAATTGCTTGTGTAATTTGCCTAAATCATACATATTCTTCTCACTTAATTAGAGGTTTTGAGTTCAAGAAATTATTTTTAAAATCATAAGGTAGTGCTTTGTGGATTTTAATGTTCTATCTGATACAAATATGATTAATCTCAATGTTTAATTCTATAATATATACTTATCTTAGTAAATATGTTGGCATGTTGCCAAACAAAAGAGAATACGAAGAAGTCTTGACTCATCCATTTTCTTTGTAGAGTTATATTACATGTACGCTAATTACTTCTCAATTCTTCTTTGTAGAGTTATATTACATGTACGTTCATTACTTCTCAGTTCTTATTGTTTGACGTATTCTCTCACATCCCCTTCCCCACACACCCCTTCCCTTTCCTTCCAGACAACAAATACATACATGCATGTTATGTAAAGTATAAAAAGGATACCACTTTGAAGACTTTATGTGATGGGCTAGATCGAGATAATACATTTAAGTACGAAAGTCATGCTCCATTCACTCTATCACTCTCTCAATTTGAGGCTATACAACCTAGCCACTATTTGTATTTTGTATCTAATGATTGAGCTTAATTAGTCTTTTAATTTGAAATGATTATTTCAGTTGAGCAATGAAGAAGCAACAACTAATCATGGTTGAAAATGAAACTAACCTTTTTAATTTTCAGATTACTTCTATGTATCAAGATTTTGTTAACATGCAATTTAATTCGAAAAATATCCGTTATTTAATTATTAGGATTAGGATATGTTATTGAGCAATTAAAAGATTATATATAACTTATTGGGCAAGAGTCAAGACTTGACATATATGTCTAAAAATATCCATAATGTGTTGATTGGATGGTTTGGCCATAATGATTTTCTTCTTATTACTAGACTGTAATTTCTTTATATCCTCCGGATTTTGTTTGTTTTTTTTTTTTTTTGTTTTTTTTTTTTGTTTTGTTTTAGTTTTGTTTTGTTTTGTTTTGTTTTTTTTTTTTAAGATCTTGATAGCTCAAATTACCTAAATTTTTGTAATTTCGTTTGTTTGTCTCTTTGGCCAAAAAAGGTAATGCCCCTATTTGGTAAAATAATTAGCTTATAGGTCAATTTTGACCTATTTGACCACTATTAGTTTTTTGATTTGGTTAAAAAATAAATATAAGTGTTTGACCAAGACCTTGTGATCTAATGGCACCAATGTTGTTGAAGGAGTTAATATCCCACAACCGGGATTTGATCATGTGACATTCCCTCAAAGGAAGTCACAGAGGTGCCATCGAGCACAAGGTGCTTGGTAATAAAATATTTTTTTAAACCCTAAAAAGTAATAGGAAGAAATTGATCACAAAGAATCTCTGTAAAAAAAAAAAAACAGAATTTCAAAATGAGTAGTCAAGTGGGTAGAACATGATTTTCATATCAGAAAGTTTAAGTCCAATTCTTACTAACACTTTTTAGGTCAAGCCTGTCACATAAGACCTTCATAAAAGGGTTATTATATATATAAGAACAAGATTTACTCATCTTAAATAACGGTTATGAATTTCTCTTGTCACAAAAAAAAAAAAAAAAAAAAAAGTAAAGTAGTGAAAGAAAAGAAGAAAGCAGAGTATACACATGCAATGTTGAACCCACACTAAAAGTTGGTTATGTTTTGTAGGATCCACAATGCAATTTATCAAAATTATTATATTTATTTCAAAAAAGTTCTAACTTTGATCAATCAATATAATAAATAAAATAAAAGTTCTTGGCAACTTTTTATTACGGAGTACTTTCTAAATCATATTAGGTTGAGATTAATTTAGAGATATTGAAATATCTTTTCTGTCCGTATATAGAATTTTACTAACTTTTTATATTATTTATTTACCAAATTTGAATGCAAAATCTTACTTTTAAAAAATATTTCGAAATCGTTCTATTTTACGCTAATTTAGTTTCAATGTATCTTTTCGATCTTATTCCACTTTTGGGACTATAATAATATATTTATACTTGTAGTTTGTTTCATTATAGTTCAAAACGTTCACTTTGTGAAAATTTTATTGTGCATTTAAAAGTGTTTTGAATTAAATAAAAGTGAAACCTTTTTTTTTTTTTTTTTTGGAAAAGAAATGTCTTTTAATTTTAAGTTAATGATTAAAAAGTTAAACAAATCATGAGATCATACTTCAATGGGATCAAAGAACATAAGATTTGAAGGTTTGTAAGAGCATCATTATCAGTGGAGAATACACAGTTATTAAGAAAATAATAGTCATGTTGGCAAAGAGAGAGTGAAGAGAGAGAGAATTGGGGTTCTTCTGCAAGAGAAAAAAATAATGTCAGCATAGTGGGACCCACACTCATTTTGGACAACTTGTGACAACCTTGCGTGACTGTCACAAAGGCGCCCAGCGGGCTGACAACGCACCTGGCATATACTTTTTTTTTTAATCAGTTTTTTTTTTTTTTTTTAATCTCATCCCATATTCTCTTTCCTAATCACACTTATAAAAACCCCTCAAATACCAACTACTATGGATGCTCTAAGTGTTTGAGCATCATACAACATTTGGAAGTGGGTGGATAATTGTTTTAAGATAAAATGGCACTTTTAATACATCAATTATGACCGAATCATTGTTTTTAAACTTCACCCATATGACCAACTGAGCTGTCAATGTGGATAATTGTGACGAAATCATAGAACTAGAACTGAAAGACTAAATATGCATTACAAATAATTGAATGAACGTAACAAATCTAACTAACGGTCATAATTGAGGGACTAAAGTGTCTATTATTATTATTATTATTATTATTATTATTATTATTATTATTATTATTAAAAGTCCTTTTCTTTGGTATGCATCTCTCTTCATCTTTAATTTTGTTAAACAAAAAACAAGAATTAAGGGCGAAAATGTTCTATAGTCAAGAAATCAAGGGGTAAATAAATTGTATACGTATATTGCATGATCGGACAAGATAGATAAATTGTACTAGGAAAATCTTGTGCAACAAACTGACTGAGAAAATATTGATAATAATTAAACTCTTAACCTTCTGATACGAAAATCATGTTTAATTTCATGCGTTTAGTTGCGGATACGAAAATCATGTTTAATTTCATGCGTTTAGTTATGCTACTAGTTAAATTCTATCTTTTTGTATAATGCTACATGGATGGCCTTTACAGACTCATTTCTGATCTGTGAGAGGCTGGCTAACATGTCAAACATAACCATATTTCCAAATATATGGACCACACCTTTACTATTATTATTATTGTTACTATAATCATCATCATTATACCATATTCAAAAGAAACAATTATTATATTTCTTATTAATTCATATAATCTTGCTGTAAATGTGAATATGGTGACACCACTGGTTCATTGGACAATAGGTGGACTACCCCCCCCCCCCCCCACCCCTACCCCCCAACCCCCGCATCCATACATACATATACATTTGTGTATATATACATCCTCCATATATGTAGGGTTACACACAATTCACTCCCAACCAGAAGCCCATAACTTGCAAGCCAAAAAGGGAAGGGGAAAAAGGCAGGGGGTATTTGCATTTGCATTGCTGCATTGTGGAGCCCCCACGGCAGGACAGAACATTACCTAAACAATGATACAACCTCTGTGTATCATTGTTTTCCATGTTCTGATCTGAAGCAAGAACAACATAATCTTTATTTCTTCCTAGTCTCAGTTTCTTCTCCATTATTATTGTCTTGTTTTTCTTCAGTCCCTTTCTCTCTTTTCCTAGGAAAGGATAGATATATGATGTTTGTCGTCTGAGGAGATCAGAGGGAAAGGGTTTTCTTGTTTGCAGAAGAAGAAGGAAAGAAGACAGACAACAACGAAAGAGAGAGACAGAGGGGTTCAGATATGTTGCAGAGGGGTTCAACCAACTCCCATTCATGGTTGTATGCGAGCCATATCAGGACCAAGCAATCCAAATGGCTCGACCAAAGCCTTCAAGGTATGATCATGTTCCTGCCTATTTAGCATAGGATTCAATGGTAAATAATATCAGTGTTGCAAAAATCCCGTCTAGGAACAGATTAATCAGCATCTAGGGGCTAAGTGTTGGCCGGCCATAGCTGGCCAGCTAGGCGGCCGACTTGGCTGACCATAATTCGGGTCTAGGCGGCCACCTAGGCATCCTAGGCGCCGATTAGGCCGCCTAAACACCAACTAGGTTGTCTAGTTGGTAAACTTGGCTAGCCATAATTGGTGGTCTAGGCGGCCAAGCCATAATCCAGGTCTAGGCGGCTGGCCAGCTAGGCGCCCGACTGGGCTGTCTAGGCCTCCTAGGCACCAATTAGGCCTCATAGACACCGATTAGGCCTCATAGGCACCGACTAGGTCGTCTAGTCGGCCAGTTAGCGTTCTATTCTATTTTAAATGAGTTTCATTTAAAACGATATCGTTTTGTGTGATATAATCTTAAATTATTCAAACTTGAGATGTTTTTTAGGTTAATATTTAGACGAAACTGTATGGTTTATTGGCAATGCAGATATGGAGGAAAAGGTGCAAAACATGTTGAGGATGATTGAACACGATGGGGACTCATTTGCAAAAAGAGCAGAAATGTATTACAAGAAAAGGCCAGAGCTAATAAACTCTGTGGAAGAAAGCTACAGAGCTTTCAGAGCCTTGGCTGAAAGGTTTGACAACCTATCCAACCAACTCCACACTGCAAACCACACAATTGCCACAGTTTGCCCTGAGCAGATCCAGAAGATGGCCATGGAAGACGACTACGACTTCGATTCCCCAAGATTCCCCAAGAATCTTCACCTCCCTCTCCCTGCAAATGAACCCATCAGCCCAAAGCCCCCAAAAGCTTCCAAAAGGGACCTCAAACCCATCATCACAATACCCTCTAAGCCATTCCAGTTCAAGAACAAGCTGCCAAATGGTGAAGACAGTGTTGTTGTTGTTAGCACTCCCCCTTCTGCTAAATCTGGGCTGACCAAACAGGAAGCCATTGAAGAGATTGAGAGGCTCCAGAAAGAGATATGTGGGCTGCAGACTGTGAAGGAGCTCGTGAGGAGCGAAACCGGGATTTCGAAATTCCAGGAGATTGACAAGCAGATCATGGAATTGCAGCAGAGTGTCTCCAGGCTGCAGGATGAATTCGGTGTGGGCATCGACGATAAGGCCGCCCGGGATCTGGTCGCAGAAACAGCACTCAAATCATGCCAAGAAATCCTGGCAAAGCTGCAGGAGGAGCAAGAAAAATGTGCTAAACAGGCTAAAGATGAATCCCAGAAGATTGCAGATGAATCTATCAAATCCGAGTATCTTAATGAGGGAGACGAGTCCCAGGGAGAACCCGGGGATGCAAAGAAAGCTGAAACAGCACTCAAATCATGCCAAGAAAGCCTGGCAAAGCTGCAGGAGGAGCAAGAAAAATGTGCTAAAGAGGCAAAAGATGAATCCCAGAAGATTGCAGATGCAGACCGGAAACTGAAATCTATCAAATCCGAGTATCTTAATGATGAAGAGTATCAGGAAGACGAGTCCCAGGGATCGAACCAAGAACCCAGGGATACAAAAGAGGGATTATTGCAGCAGACATTTAAGGAAGAACAGATTGATGATGATGGGAACTCAAAGGGAAACCTCACTGTTACTGATCTGACAATCAAGATTGATGAGCTTGTGGACAAAGTAGTCACCCTGGAAATCACACTCACTTCCCAGACTGCTCTCATTGACACATTAAGAACCGAATCCAACGATCTCCATGCCCAAATCCAGAGCTTGGAGGACGACAAATCAAGCCTGACTGAAGATAAACACAATCTGAGCAACACAGTGAGTAAACTCGAGGAAGAGTTGAAGAAACTGAAGAATCTAAACCAAGAAGTTCAAAACGAAAACAGCAGCCTCCAATTGCAGCTGGCTGAAGCCATTTCCAGTGCTGATAATTTGTCTGAGAATCTGAAAACTGCAAAACCAGACAACAAGATTGAGTCCATGGAACCCAAAGAAGAAGACATGGAAAACAAAACAGGAGAACAAAAAGGGGAAGCCACAAAACCAGAAGCGAAACATGTGACATTTGCAGAACCAAGAATACTAGAATCCCCAACCAAACAACAAAACAAGGACGAGGAGGAGAAAACAGAACTGGAGAAGGACGAGAAGTTCAACTGGCAGAAGATGCTGTTGAATGGAGTAGAGGACAAAGAAAGATTGCTACTGAAAGAGTACACCACGATTCTCAGAAGCTACAAGGATATCAAGAAGCAAGTAGAGGAAATGGAGAAGAAAGACAGGGACAACCAGTTCGAGGTTGCATTGCAGATAAGTGATCTGAAAACCACCATTGCAAAGAAAGATGAAGAGATTCAAACCCTCCACCAAAAATTAAACCTTTTGCCAGGACTAACTGAGGAAGAGAAGTTAGCCATGCTTAACAATTCCTCTTCATCCAACCAAAAACACGTCCCCGATACGATCTCGATTGATAAACCTGCAAGCATTTCACCCGTGGAAGCGAATCTCAGGCAGAAAATCGACGCTGTCCTGGACGAAAACCTGGATTTCTGGCTAAGATTCAGCACTTCATATCACCAGGTACCGAAATTCAAAACAGCAGTGAAAGATTTGCAGGATGAGGTAATCCAGGCAACCCAGGCCAACGCAAAGAAAACTCACAAAAAGTTCAAATCAGAAATCAAGCCTGCATACAAACAGCTGATAGAAACACACAATGAACTATCATCTTGGCTAGAACAAAGCCAATTTCTCAAGGATGAACTGCAGCGAAGGACCTGGTCTTTATACAGAATCCAGGAAGATATCACACAAGCTTTAAGGGATGGCGTCGAAGAAGACGAGATCAGATTCAGCAGCCACCAGGCAGCCAAGTTCCAGGGGGAAATCCTGAACATGAAACAGGAACATGTTAAGGTCAGGGAGGAGCTGCAAGCGGGCGTGGATCACATCGTTTCGCTGCAAGGTGAAGTGGAGAAGGTGGTCAAACATCTTGATCAGGAATATGGGTTCTTGATGGTGGATCACCCAATATTGCTGACCTCTAAGACCAAAACTCGAGTCCCATTAAGAACATTCATCTTTGGATCCAATCGAAAGAAGCAGAGGCGTTCTGTTTTTTCCTGCATTCCCAGCGGTAAATATGAGGTCTTGAGAGATGGATCACATCCATGATCCATAAATCTTCTGTTCTTCTTCTTCTTCTTCGTCTTCTTCTTATTCTTCTTCGATTCCTGCTGACATTTCAATCTTTCATATTTTTTCTTCTTTTTTCTTGATTTGCATTGGAGCTGGAGACTGTAACTATAATCTCAGACTGCCAGTAGTGAAAACAGGCGATTTTTTTTGTCAGAATTGAATTCATGGATTGGGACTGTTATCGCATGATTCGCATGAACATTGCAGTTTGGTCGGAGAAATCTAGTAAATGTGTTATAGATTTCTATGTATTCTGTCATCATGAAAAGGCCCATTTTAGGTCTCACTTTAATCTCTAAAGGCCCACTTTGGTCTCTTTGGATCAATGCCTTGTTGGGCTACATTGCACCACTTTGGGGATCAATACATAATAATTATATTTACACATGTATACAATTTGGTAAAAATCTCTACAAGTTTACCTTCTATCGTTATACCGTGGACCACTGATATATATATGTTCACTTTTAGTATATTGTATGTTCATTTTACTTTATTGCAGATTCATTTTCAATAAGTTCATTTTAATTTAATACTTACTGTAAGTTTATTTTTAATGCATTAAATCAATATGTATTATACTAAAAATGAACGTCTAATATACAAAAGATGTACTTGTAGCAGATAAAAATATTATAATAATAATAATAATAATAATAATAATAATAATAATAATAATAATAATAATAATAATAATAATAATAATAATAATAATAATTGTACCAAGTGGCTTATAGTCTACTGGTATCGGATTGTTCCTCTATATGGGAGGTTTAGGTTTTGAACCTTAGTGTAGGCGTAGATTGTATGGGTATCCCCTTCTTTTGTAATTTAAAAAAAAAAAAAAAAAATAGTAGTAATAACAATAATAATAAAGATACAAAATCCATGAAATTCGTTAAGTGGGCCCCCCCAATAATATGATGAATCCTAATTCTGTTTGTCTGCTGAAGCTGACAAAGAACTGGTGCAGTAGATGAAATTTTATTTTTTTTAAATAAAAAATAAATTATTATTTTTATTAAATAAATAAATAAAATAAGCGTTGCACTGCTTACACGGTAAGGAAAATACACACATTATTATTATTAATATTATAATGATAACAATAATAATCGGTGCAGTAAATATAGTTTGTTTAATCCAAACACAGGAACTGCACGTGCGTGCCGAAATCCGAATCGTCGACATATTTGAGTCGAAAGATGCAGTGCACGTGCCTTCCCAGTCAAAGGTCAAAAGAGAGCTTGATTACATTGCACGAGTCTATGGGCCTTTAACCAATTTTTTACTAATTAATTATGTTTAAATTAACAAAACTGCAAAAGCATGCAGCCTAAGCCTAAGCCTAAATAGGGACGATGACGACCAAACGTTGATCTAAATCCGACCGTCCATCACTCAACCTTACTAATTTTAGTATGTCAAGGTAATTTCGGTGTCACAACTTTCACTCGACATCACATATTTTGACTAATTTATTATCAAATTAGTAAATTAGTTTATTTAACACATAAAAAATTAAGACCCGTCAAGTATATATAGATGGTTTGCCTTTAAAAAGAATGATACATTCTCCTTTTCAATGGAGCATAACGACTCTTCGCTCATTAAATTTTAATTCCGCATTGATATTTTGAGTAAAATAGTGCAATTAATAGGCTCGTGGTCTCAAATAAAAGTTTTAATAGGCTCGTGGCCTCAAAAAGACCGTCGGTAGAATTTCAGCAAATTCTAGTAATGGTGGTCTTGGTATTCCTCGAATGAGGAAGATGTCAGTTCATATACCTTAGTTCTGAGTGCTCTGAACTTTTTTTTAAAAAAAATAACAATAACAAATATAATACTGTCTTGCCTTTAAGTACTGTTTTATATAATATAAATTTTCACTTTTAATATAATCATTCAATATAATATCCCATATTGAATGTAATATCATTATTCATTATTCATAACCATACATAATATTTAACAAATAATATTCTTAAATCTTACTCTCTTCTATTTATACTATTAAATAACCATACAATATAATCTCACTAAACCTACAACAACACTATCATTTGTGATATCACAATAATTCCATACATTTTATATTGTTTTATTATTAGAGTCGATCCAAATTGTAACCAATACAGCTCATGCTTTGCATGTTACTACTGATACATGTGTTGTATGTATAGATTTCTTCCACACGTTGTAAAGAAACTTTTGTTGGATTTGATCTTATCGTATCATATACACACACGATTTGTTCTTTTAGTCTTATCTGAAAAAATTCTAATTGCTTTTGTGTGTTTTTTGGACATTCTTATCATTTTCAAATCGAAATGTCATGCTATATATGTTACGTTGTTGTTATATATATATATATATATATATATATATATATATATATATATATATATATATATATAAGTAGGTTATATTTTTTACGTTGTTAAATTTGGTGTCGATTAATGATGAATACTTTTTTGACGTTTTCAATTTTCGAAACGTAAGTGTAATATTGTGAAGCTTTTCAATTCTTGAAACCGTCAGAATAATGGATAGATCGATACCAGATTTTTTAATTGCGCGAACTTAAGTGAATTACGCATCGGCTATAACCGACGTTAAATTTTTCAAAATTGACTCAAAATTTTTATTTCATATTAAAATTAATTTAAATAAAACAAGAACCTAGAATCGGTCATAACCTATGCAAACCGCTTACCAAAACTTACGACGGTATATTGCATTGAAAAACTTAACCGGCATAACTAAGCTTAGCCAAACTTTCATATCTCATAGTCATCAATAATTGATAATGTACACTAGATAAACGCAACTACTATACGATGTATCTTGTTTAGTTTTTTTTTTTTTTTTTTTTTTTTTTTAAATCTTATTATCCCATGTATTAAAATTTTTGTGGATTGATTTTAGGGTTTTTGGATTAAAATTTAAGAATTAAGATGTCTTTCAAACTTGAGTTTTTGCATTTGGATCATAAACTTGAATTGACCATAAAAATGAGTATAGTATATAGTATACGTTGGGAGGGTAAAAATAGCATTTGATCCCATCACCAATCCAAGAAGAGTTTTAACAGTCCCGAGAAAGCGTAATTTTCGGCGTGTAATTTTTATGGCATTTCGATATATGCAAAGCCTCCCCACACACAACTTGTTATAGCATAGCTGCACACCCTTTTAATTTAAACATAATAACGTTTTATTTATTTATTATTTTTTTAATGTTACAACAAAAATTTATAATTACTATTTGAAAGTGTACCTTGAATTAGTTTCACTCCCATCCCATGTAATAGCTCATAAATTATATAAGAGAGATAAATTGTATTACGATGATATTGTACGATGAAATTGACTGAGTGGTGTTAACAATAATCGAACTCGTAATTTTATGGTATGAGAATTATGTTCCATCCACTCACTCAAATAAAACGTTATATTATGCCCCGAAAGGGGTAGGCGAGTGTCTGAATGAAACGTGATTCTCGTACTTAAATGTTATGAGTTTGATTCTTTTTATGGGGTAATAAATAATATAAATTAATAATAAGGGGACACATTTATTACCTTAGAAGGTGGTATGAGTATTGAGTTATCCCATGTCATTGATGTTTTGTTCCCTATTTATGATTCGACTCCAATATTTTTTAATTTACTAGAAAATCAGCAACTGCTACTCGAATGGACTCCGATAATATTTTTGTCCATATATATACCGTAATGATATTCTCATCTTGCTTAATAAAACTAATTGAGTTTCATACCTCATCCCAAATAATTCTCTCAAAGACATTACTACATGAGAAGCACATTGTGCTCAGATGACATGCAATGAGGTCATGAGATCGAACCTTAGTGAAAGCGTTGTTGACTCTTTGTGTTACCTCAATGGAGGCATTGTTCTGCTCAATCTATTGGGATGAGGTAAAGCACCACCCCCGGCTCGACAGAGAATTATCATGGTGACTTAATGCTGGTGCGCATAAGGGATCTGTGCATAATTTTTACACTGCCGTTGTAGGTTCAAACATTGGTCTCTTTTTTCAAATACTGCCTACTGAACTAGTGAGTTAAACACGTGCGTTTAATGTTGGACCTATTGGTATACATAGAGAGAGAGAGAGAATGGAGTAGCTAGGTAGGTATTAGCAGTCTCGATGAGTAGGGGAGGGTGGCGACGAAACAAGTAAATGTGGTGGTAGGTCAATCATCCTTAAAATCTGGAGTGGAATTCTTAAAATTACCAAAAAAAAAAAAAAAAATCCTAGTTATTGCCGATGATGAAATCAACAGGAAACAAAGACAACAACCTCGTCATATATCATCATTATTATCATCCATCCTCTTCAGGTTTACTGTTCCCCAGCAAGCTAGCTTCCTGTTTTTAAGGCATCCGGTCTCCACTTTCTCACTCCAATTACTTCAATTCTTGCATGCAGCAGTAACTTCAATTCTTCCCATTCAAAAAATGGGGAAATCTGTTGGGCAGTGTAGATAGAAGTGTTTGGTTTTGGTTCCCTTGGAATGTGACATTTCTAGGAAGACAAGAGGCCCTACAACATGCATGGAATAATAATCCCCCAATCTTTACTCCCATGATGTCTTGTTTCTTGTTTCTTCCGTGGAATATAATGTGAAAACAAGCTAAAGGAATAATGATAATATGATATGATGGGGAAATAATGATCCATCTAGGAATGTCACTTTCACAATTGGTATGCACTACGCAGACAATATACAACCAACCAATACCAACATGTACATGCAATGCATGATTCTATTGAATATACTTTTTTTTGTTTGAATTAATTTTTAGTTTACATGTAAAAGGTAGCTTTTTAAGGATGACAATGGGTCACGTATTCTTCTGTTCGTTTAAGATAATCTAGTATGATATTTGTTTACGATTACATGTGGAAGATCCGAACTCGTCCTCAAAGTAATTTCAAGTTAAGAGAATATTTATTTATATTTATAGTTAAAGATACTGACAAGCAATATACTAAATTGATCCCTCATACTCTTAGGATGTGTATTAAGTCTATTTAAGTTTAATTCCTTAATATCATGAGTTGACTAAACTTGTTAGCATTAATAATAATTTCTATATTATTTGTGCAAAACATCATTAAATATATACTCCGTATTGGCAATTTATATCCTACACCACGGCGCGCGTTGCACTATGCGCCCAGATGCAAAACGACGTCGTTTTAATTATTTTTTTTTTTTGAAATTTCCCGCCCCAGTGAATGGCAGTAGTTTTTTCTTTAAAAAAAAACCCGCTGTTCAAGAATGTACATAATGTTATACTAGAATACACATAATGTTATACATGAATGTACATAATTATATAACAAAATATACATACTCTTTTTAAAAGATAATACACATAAT